ACAAATGAAGGCTACACTAAGTGAAATGAAGGAAAATGCACAGGGAACCAATAGTGATGGGAAGAAAACTGGGACTCAAATCAATGGAGTGGACCAGAAGGAAGAAACAACCAAACAGAAAAGAATGAAGAAACAAGAATTCACAAAAAAATGAGGAGAGGGTTATGAACCTCCAGGACATCTTTAAATGTTCCAATGTCCGAATTATAGGGGTATCAGAAGGGGAAAAGGAACAGCCACCAGTAGAAAACTTATTTGAACAAATAATAAAGGAGAACTTCCCCAATCTGCCAAAGGAAATAGACTTCTAGGAAGTACAAGAAGCTCAGAGAGTCCCAAAGAAGTTGGACCCAAGGAAGAACACACCAAGGCACATCATAATTACATTACCCAAGATAAAAATGAAGGAGAATCCTAGAAGCAGCAAGAGATAAGGGGACAGTCACCTACAAAGGAGTTCCCATCAGACTGTCAGCTGATTTCTCAAAAGAGACCTTACAGGCAAGAAGGGGCTGGAAAGAAGTATTCCAAGTCATGAAATCCAAAGACCTACATCCAAGATTGTTCTATCCAGCAAAGCTTTCATTTAGAATGGAAGGGCAGATAAAGTACTTCTCAGATAAGGTCAAGTTCAAGGAGTTCATCATCACCAAGCCCTTATTATCTGAAATGTTAAAGGGACTTATCTAAGAAAAAGAAGATAAAAAACATGAACAGTAAAAAGATAGCAAACACACACTTATTAACAACCACACCTAAAACAAAAGCAAACTAAGCAAACAACTAGAACAGGAAAAGAACCACAGAAATGGAGATCATATGGAGGGTTAGCAACAGGGGAGTGGGAGGAGGAGAAGGGGGGAAAAGGTACAGAGAATAAGTAGCATAGACAGTAGGTAGAAAATAGACAGGGGGAGGGCAAGAACAGTATAGAAAATGTAGAAGCTAAAGAACTTACGACACATGGATGTGAACTAAAGAAGGGGAATGTGGGTGGGAGGGGGTGTGCAGGGTGGAGGGGAATGGGACAACTGTAACAGCACAATCGATAAAATATATTAAAAATAAAAAAAAAAGAAAACACATCTTTTCTGAATGCAGCAGTAGTAATAAATCACATGATGGTAATGGAAATAATTCCAAAGGAATGAAGGCCAACCAAGGTCACACTGCTTTTTCGCTTCAAGCCCTCTCCTACTGACTGTGGTCTGTTGATCATGCAGCACTAAAACCAAAGTGAGTTCTCTGCAGTGATGCTTCAGCTAACGAAGCATTTACATACAAAACATAAGGACACGAGTTCATATTAAAAGAATTCTGAAACAAAGAGCAGTGAACTAAAAAGTCAACAAAAGTAGATGCAAAATCCCACTCATTAACACTGGTACATTGCAGCCTTCAGAGGAAAGAGCACTTTTGGTTACTAACCAAAACAACAAACAGAAAAACAGTGCCAAGGCCCTAGAAAAGACTGTATCAAATATATCTGCTTGTGACAAAGACGGCAGTGCAAGCCCTGACCAGGTGGCTCAGATGGCCGGAGCATCACCCTGCACACCAGAAGTTTGTTGTGGGTTCCATCCCAGTCAGGGCACATACCTATGTTGCAGGTTCCATCCTGGGTCAGAGTGTGTATGGGAGGAACCTGATCAATGTTTCTCCCTCATGTCAGTGTTTCTCTCTGTCTCTCCCACCCTCTCTCTAAAATCAAATAAACATTTCCTAGGGTGAGGACTAAAAAAAGGTCGTTCGAGCATAACTTTCCAATACACCATAGCTTGACGTATTCAGGATCTGGCTTATGGTAGTGAAAACTGGAATAAAGTTAGCAAAGTGATGTCTCAATGCAATTTAAAGAATGTCATATCACTTCTAACATGACAATTATTATGGTATATGTGTGATTTAAACATGGGGATGATATAAAGGATTCTTTTGTCAATTTCTTGCTGACAAACATACCTGACACTCATCTGTGTGATAAAACTAGGGTCACACTGTCAACAAATGTAATGTGAAGTCTGAGTGTTCGGAGAAGCACGTTCCAATGGCACAGCTGGTGAAACAGAGAAACAATTTAGATTAAGGAGCATGTGCTAGAATAGAAATTAACACACTGCTTCCTTCATCAAGAAAAGTCCTACTACCAAAAAAATCTTGCTACAACAGTAAAAATAATAAATTATTTAAGGTTAATGACTTAAAATTTTAAACGACTCTCTTTATATGTGATAAACTGAAAGCTGATCATAAAAGTGTATATGTTATGTTGTGTGCTAAGGTATGATGGTTATGAGAGAGAAAAATGATGTTGAGAATGATGAACTAGGAAATAAAGTGTTTCTGAAAGAAAAAGTAACCAGCTGCTTCTCAACTAAACAGTAAAACTTGCTTATTTCTCTGATACCGTTGGTTTTTAATAATCTTAGTACTCCCATGCAAGGAGTTTTTCAGTAGTAAATAAAATATAAGGGTGAAAATGAAAGTTAAGAAGCCTGGAAGAACAGAGTTTCTACAGATTAACATGTTCCACAGAAGGTCTGGAACTGTGTTTTCTATCAAAATAATATCCACAAACAGGAAATTCATGCCTCTAGAATTTTTTTCCACTGAAACATAACTTAAATCTAATTATAACTTGACAGGATAAACTCCTGGAAATGGACACCGATAAAGCACTGCAGATGAACTCTGAAAACACAGTATCACTGGCTTCAATTTAGATTAAAAAAGGGAAAATCCGGAACTCAGTGAAATGGCTTTCAAAGCTATACTTCTATCTTCATGAAAATATCTCTGAGATGAATTGCTTCATGATGAATTTTTTTTTTAAGGAAAAAACCAACAAGGAAGTAGTTTACACGCACACTGTCCTCCAGGAGCACTGCCGTCAGCAACCCAATTTAGATGATGAATGAGCACCAAAAAACCTATTTTGTCTCATTAAAAACTAAAAATTAATATACAAAGTGTCTAGATGTTACCTACTGAGAATTGATACTTTAGACTGTTTTGATTACAGAATAAAAAGGTATAACTATAACACTGATTTCCTGTATCAATCTCATACTCACTTTCAATGAACAGTATATATAGTTATAAAATTCTTTTCCTATCTTACGTTTATTTTGACTATGTGTACTGAATTGTAATTATATGTCTGTTAAATTTTATTGTTAAAAATTTGAGCTTATATGTCATATATCTTTTTACTTTTTTTTTCTGTTATTCAATTTTATTGTACTTTACAAAAGCATTGGTCTGTAACAGGTTGAAAATTGAAAATCAGGGTCCTTCATCTCAGAGTTTAGATAATAATGCATTATTATCTGCATTAATGTAAAATTTACTGACTATGAGAGTGATAGTGTACCTCAAAGGAGAATGCCCTTGTTCTTAGGAAACAGTGTTGAGGTATTTAAGAGTGAAGTAATTCTCTAATGTCCACAAGTAATTCTCAAATGGTTCAGCCACAATGAAAAGAGAAATACAGGTGGAGGTGAAAGAGACACTGACAAGTAGTGAGTCTGCGTGGAAGGTACATGGGTGTTCCTTGTAATGCTATTCTTGCAATATTTCCATAAGTGAAATGTTTCAAAAGAAAAAGTTGAGGGAAAAATTTTTAAATAATAAAAAGTTTTGCCCTATACCATTTATAAAACTAATAATGCCAAATTCTTTTTCCCAAGATGTATTTCTAGATGAAATAATTGGTGAAAAGAAGATATTTTTAAGAATTGATTTTAGTCCTGGCCGGGTGGCTCAGCTAATTGAAGCAGTGACTCATCCACCAAGAGGTTGGGGGTTCAATCCCCGTTCAGGGCACATATCTAGGTTGCGGGTTTGACCCTCAGTGGGGGAGCATATGGGAGGCAACCAATCAATGTTTCTCTCTTACTCTATCCCTTCCTCTCTCTCTCATCAATAAACATATTGGGTGAAGATTTTTAAAAAAGAATATCAATTTTAGGGGAAATTATCTTTTCAGAGAACATTCAGGTCTAATTAATTACTGTCAAAGAAAATAAATGCGACTACCTAAAAAAGTATTGATTGAAAAAAAAAAGTATTGATTGGCACTTCATCTGTTCTCATTTAGCTATAATTTAGAGATCTGCTGTGTTCACATAATAAAACTTAAGTAAGTAGGAAAGAGGAAACTCTGAACATGTGGCTCTTACCTGGAACAGCCAGGAGGTTATTAAGTCCCTACTGTTTTTCTGAACCGGTAACAAACCTCATGAATTAATTTAAAAAATAATATATATATATATTTTAAATAATATTAAAGTGAGGAAATAATACTGGAAACAAACTTCTCTCCTGGCACTTTAATTTTTACCTGATTTCATAGGCTTCACAGGGACTCACACTTCACAGTTAAGGGAAGTAATAAAGGGAGAAACGACATAGCCGAGGTTACAAAACATGACTATGTGAAACCATATACTTTACTCTGACATGTTCTTGTTTCTGTTCAGCCAACCACTTCATAATATCCAAAAACTAGATTTTCTTGTGTTCTCAGATAGTTCATGGAGCCACTGTTTTCCTTGAGTTCAAATATAAGGCTTCCAAATATTACAATGGGTTGGGATGAGGGCAGATGACTCATAACACATTTAGAAAAATGCTCATTTTTTAAAGAACTACTGTATTTTACCATGTATAATGTGCATGTTTTTGCCCACATTTTTGAAGGAAAAATAAGGATGCATATTATATATGGGTAGTACTAATTACATATCTACGCAAATGTTTTTAATTCTTTTATTTATGCTTATGTGTTAAAAGCATAACTCTAGAAAGCAATAATGATATCCATATACAAAATAATACTCTGGAATACAATACGATACTCGGTTTTGTTTCTAAATATAAATAACTGAATTAAAAATTAAAACAACAGATACTTTCCCTGAAAGTTTCTGCCAAAAACCTGGGTGCACATTACACTCGGCAAAATACGGAAGTTTCAAAGTTTGTGAAGGTCATCTTACCTGACTTCTTCACCAGCAAAATCAAACACCTTGGTGATTTTAACTTTCTCTGTTTCTTTAGGTTTCTCTAGCTCTTCTGCTTTGACCGACAATTTATTTGAACTTGTCTCTTCAGTCTCCTCTCTTTTCTATGAAAAAAGTAAGAATCAGTTTCACTTAAGGATGAAATCTAAAAGAACCATTCAATCATGCTGCTTATGGCTATTTCTAAACGTTTCATCCCTAAAACAGTTAAAGACCTATTGAAAATTTATTTGATTGAAAAAGCTTGTTTTTCCTTCCAAAGGGAATGCTTTGTTTTTCGCTCAGTTAGAGTCATTTACTATCTACAGCCCTGGCTGGTGTGGTTCAGTGGACTGAGTGCTGACCTGCAAACCAAGAGGTTGCTGGTTTGATTCCCAGTCAGGGCACAAGCCCGGGTTGTGGGCCGGGTCCCTGGTTGGGGGTGTGTGAGAGGCAACTGATTCCATCACAACAATTCTTCTCTCCCTCTCTTTCTCCCTCCTTTCCCCTTTCTCTGAAAATAAACAAATAAATTGAATCTTTTTTAAAAAAGGCATCTATGTAGTCTATTTTCTACTGTAAGCTTCAAATTGGTTTGTAAACTTTTAAAAAATCTATCTGGAGGATTTCTGGTCAAGATGGAGGCATAGAAAACATGCCTCATCCTCACAAAACTACAGCAATAATTACAACTAGACTCCAAAACAAGTACCACCCAGAACTGTCAGAAAATAGAGCTGTATGGCAGTCCAACAACCAAGCGTTTTAAAGCCACCACGCTCATCCAGATGGGTGGAAGGGTGGGCAGAGACACACAGGGGTGGGGAGGTGTGGACAGGCACAGAGACACAGAACACGCAGTCCCACATCCACTTATGGTGGATAAAAATAGGGAGGGACACCTTAGGAGCGAGGGATCCCAGCCCAAGACCAGACCAACGAGCCCAGCCCAGGGTTCCAGTGCCAGGAAGGTTAAATCCCTGTAACTTCTTGCTATAAAAATCAGTGAGGGGTGGGGTGGCAGAAGAAACTGCAGGATTCTCTGGAGACTCCTCTTAAAGGACCTACAATTGACCTAGGACTTACATGGACTCATTCCCTCTGGGATTCGGCACCAGGAAACCAGCTGGAAGGGCACCAGTGGCACACAGGGAGAAAATGAAGTGACTGGCAACCAGGTGAGTGATGGGAGACAGCTTCCTTCTGGGCAAAATCCAGAGGCCAGACAGCGGCAATGTCCCCATCCAAGCCCTCCTCACACAGAGCAACAGAGTGGTGACACAGTTGCCCCACCTTGGCAATTACTGAGGGCTCCACCCCATACAATTGACAGGTGCAGTTTTCTACAATTAGGACAGGGAGTCAAAGCAGCTCTACTTAATACACAGAAACAAACACAGGGAGGCTGCCAAACTGAGGAGGCAAAGAACATGGCCCAAATGAAAGAACAGAACAAAACTCCAGCAAAAAAACTAAATGAAATAGAGATAAGCAAAACACTAGATATCAGGATGCTCAAGGAACTCACTGAGTATATCAACAGCATAAAAAAGACCTGGGCAGGAATGAGGGTTACATTAAGTAAAATAGAGAAAAATCTACAGGGAACCAAGAGTGGAGGGGATGAAGCTGAGAATCAAATCAACAATTTGGAACATAAGAAAGAAAAAAAGCTATCAATCAGAATAGTAAGAAGGAAAAAGAATTCAAAAAAATGAGGATAGGCTAAGGAGCTTCTGGGACATCTCCAAACATACCAACACCTGAATTACAAAGGTGCTGGAAAGAGCAGAGAAAAAGCCAAAAAACTGAAAACGTATTTGAAAAAAAAAATGAAAGAAAACTTCCCTAATTTGGTGAGGGAAGCAGACATACAAGTCTAGGAAGCATAGATAATCCAAACAAGTTGGACCCAAAGAGACATTATAATTTAAATGCCAAAGGTTTAAACTGGAGGTTAAAGACAAAGAGAGAATCTTAACAGCAGTAAGAGAAAAGCAATTCATTATCTATAGGGGAGTTCCCATAAGACTGTCAGCTGATTTCTCAAAAGAAACTTTGCAGGCTAGAAGGGACTGGCAAGAAACATTCAAAATGATGAAAAGCAAAGACCTACAACCTAGTTTACTCTATCTAGCAAAGTTATCATTTAGAATTGAAGAGCGGATAAAGTGCTTCCCAGACAAGGTCAAGCTAAAGGAGTTTATCAGCACCAAGCCATTACTGTATGAAATGTTAAAGGGACTATATAAGAAAAAAAAAGATCAAAACTATGAACATTAGAATGGCAAGAGCTCTGGCTGATGTAGCTCAGTGGATTGCGCACCAGCCTGAGAACCAAAAGGTCACTGGTTCCATTCCCACTCAGGGCACAGGCCTAGGCTGCAGGTCAGGTCCCCAGTAGGGGGAGTGTGATAGGTCACCACACACTGATGTTTCTCTTCCTCTCTTTCTCTCTCTTTTCCCTTCTCTAAAAATAAAATAAAATCTTAAAGAAAACCAACTTTGTTTTAAAAAAAAATGGCAACAAATTCACAACTATCAACAACCGAATCTAAAAAACAAACTAAGCAAACAAGAACAGGAACAGAATCATAGGTATGGAGATCATTTGGAGGGTTATCAGCTGGGAGGGAAAGGGGGGAGAACAGGGGAAAAGGTACAGGGATTAAGAACTGGTATGTACAAAATAAACAGGGGGATATACAGCGTAGGAAATGGAGCAGTCAAAGAACTCTTCACAGACATGACCCACAGACACGAACTGTGGGGGACTGCTGGAGGGAATGGGGGTACCAGATGGAGGGAGGAAAAGGGGGAAAAACTGAGACAACTGTAATAGCACAACTGGTAAAACATATTTTTAAAATATCTATCTGGAGGACTGACTGGTATGGCTTAGTAGATTGAGTGCCGACCTGCAAAATGAAAGATCGAAAGATCGCTGGTTTGCGCTGCATGTGCAACGCAGTCAGGGCACATGCCTGGGTTGAAGATCAGGTCCCTTGATGGAGCAAGGAGAAGGGGCAAATGATCGACATTTCTCTCCCACATCAATGCTTCTCGCCCTCTCCCTCCCACACCCCTTCCTCTATTAAAAAACAATCTATTCAAGAACTTAGGGTATTGCTGGGGAAACATTCATCTCATTCACGTATCAACTTACTTTAACTTGTGGACTTGGGGACACTTTCGACTTTGGTCCCACGTCACTGAGAAAGCTGGCCCAGAGTTCGTCCTCCTTCTTCCTCCTTGCAGCCTCTGACCCAGTGTCTTCTCCCCGCTCTGCAGCCGTGTGTTCCTCCTCACTGCTGCTTGCTCCAGATTCCTCACTGACATCTTCCTCTTCCTCTTCTTCTAACAAGAGGCCTCCTGGTTTTCTTTTCCTAATCCCCAACAATCACAAGGAACAAGAAAGATAAGACACGCAAAATGATTTCAGTTATCCCTTCCTCAATTCCAAAGTCAATGTTGCAAACTCAAGAAAACTCTCCAATCTGGGACCACTGATTATGATGTACACTGAGAGGCATAAAGAGGTACAATGAGATTTTGTGGAAGAAAAAAAGAATTGAGTTCTTAGCCTCCCCCTAAAACACTTAGAATCAAAATATAGTGTTCTATATACTTCTAAGTCAGGACTAAGAAACACCCAAAATTACCACAGAATCAATCTGTCCAAAAAGAGTGTGCCAAGAACACACACACACATACATACAATACACATGTATATGTGTGTATGTATGTGTGTATGTATGTATGTATATATATATATATATATTTTTTTTTTTTTTACTTTCTGAAGCCATTACATATGGAGAACATGTTTCATTGAGAGCCTCAAATTTATTTTCACTGTTTCTTCCTAGAATTACCCAGGGACAAGCAGGGGGTGGAGGAATTCATATTTTTCCCCTTTTCTGAGGCTACAAAAGCTGGAATACGGAAAATTTTAAGGACAAAAAAACTGGGCCCAAAATTCATGAGAGCAAATTGATTCTAACTTCAAGTGAATCTAATACCTTAAATTCCTTCTCCCCTTTATAAACTACAATTTAAAATAAACTACAATTTGCTTTTTTGCTTCAATGCCCAGAAAGACTGAAACACCAATCAAAGAGAATAAAAGATTTCTATAAAAGATTCTCTTATCTGAGTTCAATAATCCATCAGAATTTTCTTTCTTTCTTTTTTTAGGAAACTTCTTTTTTTGAAAACCATACAAGACATTTATTAAAGATTTATCCACAATCAGATGGTATACAACTGGAACAAGACCACCCAGAATAAAAATGAGGGTCTTCTTCAACGTAACTTTGCACATCTTTCTGAAACACAACACGGGACAGCCAGCGGTTCTCCAGAGATTTCATGATCCATTCTGGGAGACAAAGGCTTATCTTACCCATAACAAAGATCGTCATGACCTCTACCAGCAATTTCATGGTGCTGCATTTTACAAGGGACATGAATGAACTCCTGGGGGAACACAGTAGCAGTGCCAGTCTGGGCTCCTCTTATGACAGTGACTGCAGGCCTAGAGGTCCAACTTTTACAGCCAAAGGAATGAGTAGTTTATCCATCAGAATTTTCATAATTTTTGGTGAAAGTATAATTCAGTTCCAGGCCTATGGAAGATAATTTGCTAATATCTATAAATATTATTTTTCACTGCATATAACCCTGGGTCAAACAATTCTACTTCTACAGATCTGATTCACAGATATACTTTTCATATACTTTTATATCTTTATATAAAAGATATATACTTTCATATACATATTTATATGAAGCTATATACAAAAATATTGAGTGCAGTCTTATTTGTGGTAGGAAAGGTAAGGTACAGCCTTGGCTGGTGTGGCTCAGCTGGTTGGAGCATCGTCCCATAAAACAAAGGGCTAGATTCCTGGTGAGGGCACATGCCTGGGCTGCAGGTCCAGCCTCTGGGTCAGGGTGCGCATTAGAGGTAACTGGTTATTCTCACATTGATGTTTCTCTCCCTGTCTCGCTCCCTCCCTTCCCCTCTCTAAAATCAAAGAGCATGTTCTTGGGTAAGGATTAAAAAAAAAGATGGGGTACAAATCAAATGTGTCCCAATACAGGAATCCCTGAATGAAGCAAGGTCTATCCATATCATGAAATACCACGCAGCCAATGAAAGGAGTAAGGTATAGCTAGATGGCATCATCTCTAAGATGTGAAATAACGAAAGTGACAAATGATATGCAGAGCATACTACCGTTTGTTTTTGTTTTTAAAGGAAGTAGGAAACATCTATATACATGCTTGTGCACACACAGAATACCTCTGGTAGCACAGTTCTGACACACAGCAACGAAGGCTAGAGATGGGGTACACGTTTTTGTAAGTAACTTGAGTTTTTCATTTTAACTATATGTACACATTACCTATTAATTTTTAAAATTAACTCAAAAATTTTTAAAGCTTTCCAGAGACCAAAAATCTAATCCTGAAATGTCTCCAAATGCTCAAAGAGAAAAAGGTTAGAAACCTTAGCGGCAAGAAATCTACCAGACCAGTGCCAGCATCGGGATGGTTTTGACAGCAGCAGCCCTGACTTCTAAGGGCCTTAAGGGCAGCATCACCTGGCAGGAATGCTTTGAGCCTTTCTTTTTTTCCCTTTGGTTTTCTGTGTCTGCTCCTCACCATCCACTTCGTCTTCTTTCACTAATTCATTTACATCATCTTCACTATACTCTTCACCTGAAATCACATAATAGGGGGGTCACACAGACATTAATAAAGATTTTCACATCAAGATGAGACATTTGCATTAAGCAAGAAGTCTAGTGCTTTCCTCCGTTCTTCACCTAACTAGAGTATTACTTCCTGAGACAAGTTTTCCCTGTCCCTGGAGACGAGGCTAAGTCCCCAAATCCTAGGCTTGCAGAGCAGTCCATATTTTCCCCATAACTCATCCCACTCATATTTAATGTTCGCAATTTCTGCCATGCTCTGCCCATCATGAGGACAAAGATCCTGTTTACTCTTTATAGGTATTTGCTGAATGAATGAATGATTGATAGAATGACAGAGTGAGTGAATGAACAGAAATCCTAATTCTATCTACCGTATTTTTCAAAAAAGAAACTGATACTTCCACTTCATCTTGAATATATCTTTCAAAAGTAAGCAAACAATACCTTCTCTTGTCAATAAAAGAGATTTAGAGAGAGGTCTAAAGACCCCCAGTTGGACACAGGTTCTTCCCCGGCAGGAGGAACCTCACACACTGACACTCAGGCTCCCCCGTGAAAGAGTGCTACCTGGATGCTCAGCCCAGTCTGCACTGCCTGCAGGGGTATTCAGGTGGCTTTTTTACTTCATCTAACCTTTAACTGGAAGTATAACATACCATATTTTTCGGACTATAGGACACACTTTTTTACCATATTTTTTTGCTTCAAAATTTTTTTTCCTATTTTTCTCCTCTAAAACCTAGGTGCATTTTATGGTCCGAAAAATAGACCAAAAAAATTGATGCACCTAGGTTTTAAAGGAGAAAAATAGGGAAAAAAACTTTGAAGCAAAAAATATGGTAGAAAAGTGCATCTTATAGTCCCTAAAATATGGTATGTGTGAAAAACCACAAAAGCTAGTGTACAGTTTAATAAAATTACGCAAAGTGAAACACATAACCAGAACCCAGCTCAAGAAGCAGAACGTGGTGCTCGGCGTTCCAGAAGACCCCTCGTGCCCCCTTCTTAGTCACCGGCCACCAGCCCCATCCCACAGCAGCCACTATCCTCACTTCCAATGCCACCGATTCGCTTTGTGTGCTTTTGAGCATTAACAAACAAGCCTACATTATGCACTCTTTTGGGTCTGGCTGCTCTCATTCAACATCATTAGTGATAGTCACCCTATCACTTCATGTAGCTATGATTTATTCATTCTTACCCCCGAATAATATTTCATTGTATGACTACACCATAGCTTATTTATCCATTCTTCTGTTAATAGACATTTAGGTTGTTTCCAGTTTGGAGCCATTATAAATAGGGCTGTTTTGAATAGTCCTTACATCTTATCAGCTTTTAAATATTTCACTCACAATGAACCAACTATCACCAAACACTTCAAGGAAGCCTCCAATACGAAAAGCAATAATGAAAACAAGCAGAAAGAAACTCAGAGGAAATAGAATTAGGGGTTAAAAAAGTTAAAACATTTTTAAAAAAACCCTTTGTATTTAATACTCTCAAAGAGGCAACCATGAAATAAGAATGATTTTTAATTTTTTTCAGAAAACTAAAACAAAACAAAAAAACCAAACTCTTGAAAACTACAAATATGATAGCCGATACTCAAAAAAGAGGAGAAGAAAGATGCTAAGATGAAGCCAGCCATGAGAAAATCTGGAGAACAAACATGAACCTGAGGAAACAGTAGATATAAGGGCTCTACAGCGGAAACAAGTTTGGTATCCAGCTACCTGGTAATAAGTGAAAGTGTCTCATGATGAGGGAATGAGTCCAGGGTTAAGATGGCAGCCTGGACTTCCGCCAAGATGGAGGCGTAGATGGAAATACTGTGCCTTCTCGCACAACCAAGTTTAAAAACAACAAAGTTTTAGCAACAAAAACGCAGCCAAATCACAGAAAATTGAACTATACGGAAGTCTGACAACAATGAACTTTTCAGCCAGACCGGTAACAGAGGCGAAGCCAGCAGTGGAGCAGGAAAGGTCCACCCGACCAACCCAGGCATGCAGCCCAGGCAGGCAGGCAGGCAGGCAGCTGTGGGTGGATCCCAGGTGTGGAGTAGCAGCAGGCGGTCCCACTGAGGGCGCAAGGCGGCAGGCTGACCACGGTCACACATTCATGAGCAAATAAACCGGTGAAGGAGCGAGCAGTGAGACAGACCATACAGGCCCCAGCAGCGGGAAGCAGCAGAGGGGACTGCTATTACCCCACTCTGACCCCACCCCCACATACAGCATCACAACCTGGCAACCAGGGTGGCCCCACCCTGGTGAACATCTAAGGCTCCTCTCTTCATATGTAACAGGCATGAACAGACCAAAACATGGCTCAAGAAGAACTCAAAGCCCCAGGGCCCATAACTCTAAGTGATGAAGAACTAACCAAACTTTCAGATGCACAGTTCAAAACACTGGTCATCAGGATGCTCACAGAACTCGTTGATTTTAGTCACAAATTAGAGGAACATATGAAAGCTAAACTAATTGAAATGAAGTGAAATGCACAGGAAAGAAATGGTGATGGAAAGGAAACTGGGACTCAAATCAAGGGAGTAGACCAGAAGGAAGAAAGAAGCAACCAAACAGAAAAATATGAAGAAACAAGAATTCAAAAAAATGAGGAGAGGCTTAGGAACCTCCAGGACGTCTTTAAACGTTCCAACATTCGAATTATAGGGGTACCAGAAGGGGAAGAGGAAGAACAACAAGTGGAAAACTTATTTGAACAAATAATAAAGGAGAATTTCCCCAATCTGGCAAAGGCAATAGACTTCCAGGATATACAGGAAGCTCAGAGAATCCCAAAGAAGGTGGACCCAAGGAGGAACACACCAAGGCACATCATAATTACATTAGCCAAGATAAAAATGAAGGAGAATCCAAGAAGCAGCAAGAGATAAGGGGACAGTCACCTACAAAGGAGTTCCCATCAGACTGTCAGTGGATTTCTCAAAAGAGACCTTACAGGCAAGAAGGGGCTGGAAAGAAGTATTCCAAGTCATGAAATCCAAAGACCTACATCCAACATTACTCTATCCATTTAGAATGGAAGGGGAGATAAAGTGCTTCTCAGATAAGATCAAATTCAAGGAGTTCATCATCACCAAGCCCTTATTATATGAAATGTTAAAGGGACTTATCTAAGAAAAAGATAAAAAATATGAACAGTGAAAGGACAGCAAACTCACAGTTATTAACAACCACACCTAAAACAAAAGCAGACTAAGAGGACAGCTAGATCAGGAGCAGAACCATAGAAATGAAGATCACATGGAGGGTTAGCAACAGGGGAGTGGGAGGAGGAGAAGGGGGGAGAAGGTACAGAGAATAAGTAGCTTAGACGGTAGGTAGAAAATAGATGGGGGGAGGGTAAGAATAGTTGGAGAAATACAGAATCTAAAGAACTTGAGACACGTGGTCATAAACTAAGGGGGGAATGGTGGGGGAGGGGTGTGCAGGGTGGAAGGGAATGAAGGGGGGAATAGAACAACTGTAATGGCATAATCAATAAAATATATTTTAAAAAAGATGGCAGTCTGAACACACAAGTGTAATTTTGCTTCCTCCTGACACCCCAGGAAATCTATACAGCAAAAGATGTAAACCTGTGATGGTGGTCACCTAGCTGCATCATATTTGTTTGTATTTGTAAAAGGCAACACGGGAAGGATAAACAAAAAAAAACCTAACAGAAACAGCCAACTATAAGGGCTGGGTAGAACAGGGTGGAGTAGGAAGGGACAGAAGCTAGAAGTCTATTTATCTTTCTATGAAATTTTGAACATCCCTTAAGCACGGTTTGAATAAATAAATATAACTATATGCCCAAACAATACTATAACCCATAAAGACAGGATTCCAACAAGTTTAAAAACATAGTTTCTGACTGTACATTTTCAGCAAGATGCAGTCTAAAGACAAAATGTTCTACTCCTTGTGGTGATATCAATGTTGGTGTTGTGCAACTATTTCCTTTATATGACAGGTGGAAGCAAGTAGTTACATTAATCATGTTAGGAATCCAGACGTTCAGAATAAAGAAGTGACACACAATTATAAAATCAAAGAAATTAAGTATGAAAATACAAATGTTAAAACAGAATTTAAGCCCTGGCCCGTGTGGCTCAGCTGGTTGGAGAATGTCCTGTAAACCAAAAGTCTGAGCGTTCGATTCCTAGTCAGGGCACATGCCTAGGTTGCAGGTCTGGTCCCCAGGCGGATGCATACAAGAGGCAACCCATCGATGTTTCTCTCTTGCATCAATGTTTCTCTCTCTTCCCCTCTCTAAAATCAAAAAAGCACGTCTCTGGGTGAGGACAAAAAAAAAAGAGCCACATAATTTAAAATATCAATATGAACTCTAACTCAAACTGGGACATTTTGCTATGCCAGAAAGCAAGGAATGGGTCACTTCAAAAGGTTTTAAGATCCCACTTGAAAGAAGTCCTAGTAGCCAAAAGTGATAATGTGAACTAAAAGGAATAATGGTTAGTAAATTAAAACACATGTAATTGATAAATATCTGTGAATACTTTATGATATTAAAAAACTGTACCATTGTAAATAAGCTATTATTAAAGTTGCTCCCCATTTTGAAAATTGATTAATTAAGGAAAATGAATTAACATTTATCCTGCCCCAGTTGATGAGGGAAAGCTATATATACTTTCAGAAGAACATCAATGAATAAATGTAAAAGACCCACAGAATTAAAAAAAACACCACAGGAAACAACAATGACATAATAGAGGAATCCAGCTCTCATCACCCTGATTCAACAGTCACAACTATGAGGATTGACCAGGCATAAGGTATCTTCTGATGTCATGTATTGTGTCATACAATGAATGTATTCTAGGCAAAAAAAATTTTATTTGAATCCATCAAGCATTTAGATTTACCTTCTAATGCATGGAAAATTCAAGGGACAAGGGAACAAAATAACACTGTGAGGGAGCAACAAATCCTGAGCTTGAGACATTCTGCAGGACACACGCCT